TTTTCAACGTTTTTTTTTTCATCTTCAAAATAGAGATTCTACTACTACGTAAAGTTAATAGTTGCTCTACTCGTGATACTTGTCGCAATATTAATATACATTAAGATAACTGATGCGACAAAAAAAAACGATGAGTTTAACACCATATTTTTAGACTCAATCGTTTTTGGTATTCAACTTTTCTGGGCAGCGATGGAAGCAATACGAGGGAGATCTAATAAGAAAAGACTATACTATGTATTTACTTTTCTTCCTATACTACTTGGTATTCTTCTTCCAGTAGTATTAGGTTTATTTCTTATTACACCAACTCTCGCAATAGCGTGGGCGGGGGTTGGTGTAATTACTTCCAATCTCGCAAGAGATTGTTTTTAACACATGTAGTGCCGTAGTGAGCAAAAAATTAATTAATATATAATATCTTCTTGCTTGCTTATTGCAAGGCGCCTGCCATGCTAAGCTGTTTTTTTTGCTTGCATAGCGTATGCCAATATTCAAGTTTACTTACCTGATTCACTTTTTTTTGGCTTAGAGTCCATAAGTCTTACTATAGAACGTAAGGTTAAACGCCTGAAAATCCCTGCTATGGTACTTGATAGTGGAGCTGAGCTTCCAACTGTATCAGAAGATATTGTTAAACGCGTAGGCGGGAAAATAGATAGATCAGAAAAATATGATCCCAGCGGGGGTGTCGCTACTGTTCCAACAGAATCTACTGGCGTCACTCGTAATTTTCCAATAACATTCTCCCCAGGACTATGCGTAAAAATTTGGTAGTTGTACGCCCCCCCCCCCCAAACCGACATCCAAACCCGCTTCTCAAAAAATATAAATGTGTTGTAGACTGCGGTAATGATAAAAATGAAGGTTTACTAAATTTTATTATGCATAAAGTCAAGAATAAACGAAGTAAATTGTGCTGCCGCATTTCAGAATGATACGCCTTTGGTATCTGATCAAATTTACCAGAAGATAGATAGTGATGAGGATGATAATACACTCAAAGCTCGTTATAATAGAACTACGTTATAATGGAATCGCATTATAAAAAGAAATTTTTTAGAACACTGTTTTCTAATATTAAAAATTGCTTGTTACACATAGGCAGACTCGATAAGTCGGTCCCTCGATAAGTCGGTTTTTGCCTAACTCGGTCAAAAATATTAAGCCCTTTTTTTCAATATTTAAAATCTCTCCAACATATGAAAAGTTGCGATAAGCTGCAAGTCGGTCAACCTCCTTTACTGCTATATGTAATTACCCTCGATAAGTCGGGTCTCACATGATATTAAGAGAATATCATTACTATTTCAGTACAGTCGATCATATAAAAATTTTTTTACTTTGATAATACTCATGCATACTGGTAGACGTAAGTAGGAGGGAAATTAAAACATTCACTAATCTTAAAAAAAAAGAGCTCCGTGAGTACCAACAATTTATTTGTTCTAGGCTTAAAACACTTAAAGCGAGAATTGAGAAAAAACGAATGAATTATTCAACACAAACAAGCATGGATATTTATTATTATGGTACGCATGCTATTACTAAATTAGTTACGTGAATTCGATAAGTCGGTCCACCGAGCCAGCCATCTCAGACCGACTTATCGAGTCTGCCTATGTAATAGATTCTTATAGTAAATCGCGTTATTAGCTATAATGGAATTTTTTTATGAATCGTCTATAACACAACTAATCGCACTATGGGAAATATAGATTCAGCCAATAGGATGAGAGGAGTCAAACTCAATATTAATATGTTTTAACACTTGACATATCTAAAAGAATATCTTTAACAAATGCACAGAAACGTCAACTATGTCTTGACCAACGAATGGCGAACTTGTATCAAGTATAGAATCAAGGGAAAATCCGTCTCCGCAATCTTAATAGCAAAAGAAAAATGGCTTGTAACGAATTCTGATGAATATACTGCTCAGTCGAAGCGTAATCGGCCCTCAAAATATGAGAACGTTGAACGCGCCTTGTGGAGTTGGGCAAAGTGTGTTATCCTGTAATCCCGATATCGGTACTGTTTTGAAGAAAAAAGCAATCGACTTTGCGATGCTTTTCAGTATTGAAGGGTTTAAAGCGTGCTTTATTAATAGCATTACGGATGAAGATGTTGTACGGATAATTTTAGGGGAGAGACATGATCGGATAAAGAAGAGGGAAAAGATGTAAAGAAACAGAGGTGCTGAAGTTATGTTGCAATTTTTCGAGCAATATTAAGTTAAAATTTTCTGAAAT